CATAGCTGTATTCTAATTCAGAGGAGAAACCAAGTTCCCACGCTGACCTCTGACTCCCTTGCAATCGTGAGAGTTGTACAATCAAATGTGTCACGAGCAGCTGTCCAAGGTGTGGTGTGTCAGAGGCTGTCAGGGCCTGCACCACCCAAGGGAGCTCAGCGCTGCTGCGGGGGGCTGGTACGGTGGGGGCTCTGCGAAGGGCTGGGCAGGGAGGGGAGTGGGGGTCGCCCTGGCCGAGAGCAGGGCAGCACGGGACAGGCCCGAGGCGCGGGCCCTCCTTGCTGTCTTTCTCAAGATGAGATCCTCTAGTCCGGAGGCTCAGTGGCTTCCTACAGGCGACCAGTCCTGAGCTCAGTCCAGCCACACAACAGCAGGCACTGTGCTAGCGCCCCAGATGATGGTGCCAGGAGCCACCACGGCGCTGCTGAGCCGACTGGGAGCCTGTTCACCAGAGTCGATGTCCCCTCAGTCCGGGAACATGTCCTGAGGGGACCTTGCCACCCAGTGGCTTCATGAGGGAATCTGGTCATTCTAAACATCTGTCTCACTTTTGGGAGGTGCTGGTCCCTCCTTGGTTCTGGACGGCCTGACCCTTCAGGAAGTTGCTGTTCCTGTTCAGAGATGCCCGTGGAGGCGCATGTCTAAAGGGAACCTGCTGGAAATGGCAGAGGGCACCGGGCTGGCATCAGGGCCAGCACCACTGCTGCCATCCCTCAACTGCTCGCTGGCATGGAGGAGCCCGAGTGGGCTCTGGGACTGTGCGTGACATCAGCGTGCCTAGCACACCAGCCCTCGATGACGATCGCAGCACCACCGCACTGCGCTCCGCCATCGGCACACAGCCGGACTCTGTTCAATGAGACTTTGTTGTGACAGCTGCATGCCAGTACCACCACGAACTCAGGCTGCTGGGGACCCTTGGAACCCGTAATAAGAAACAAGCACGTCCTGCACCCAACCTTCCGCAGAATCGTCCCATGATATCAGGAACGTTCTCCAGGTCAGTCTCCTCCTGCTGTCTCCACCATGTGCCTGGGAGAAGCGCCCGGTCCAGACAGAGCACGGACTGCTGACCAGCGCAGGGCCTGAGCTCCCTGCTGAGCTGGACAGCAGCATGCCCTGTGTGCTTAGCCTGCCGGGTCTTAGGTCCTCACGTGCAAGGTGAGGATAATGGTCCCCCGGGCCGGGCCCATCCTGTCCTAAAGCACAGCTGGCTCTGGAGCCTCCAGGAGAGCTCACAACCCTGGCAGGAGGCTTGGCGTCCAAGTGAAAGGACTGGGGAGCCTCTGTAGGACTTTACAGAGTGCTCCACTTTCCTACCCCAGAAGCAAAAGCTGTGAGCAAGATGGACAAACAGCCAGAACTGTCCTGGGAGAAGAGCTGGGGAGGGGGAGAGGAAGGGGTCTTTCAGGGCCCACTCTGGTGAGGAGCAGTGCCGCGTTCACACAGAGAAACACAGTGGTCAACATGGGCACTTGTACAATCTGTGAGAGCAGGTGAATGGGGGTGGAGCAGATCTGTCAACGCTCCGTATCCTGACAGTCACATTCACTTGGAAGAACAAAGTGACAACCCTGACCTCAAATCATACACTAAAAAAATTTCATAATGAAAGTTAAATACTTCTGAAAACACACATTAAAAAAGGGCACAAGACATGCAGGTTGCATCCACAGCCCAGCTACAGGGGCAGCGTCCAGAGGACAGGGCTCTAAGCCTCCTTGCTGGTAGGTGACTGAACACTGCTCAGCGGAGAGTTTCTCTGGCTCCTGCCCAGGGCCATTTCCCATACTAGCTGCCACCCAGGGAAGCCACCAAGTCTAGACAGGGTGATGGCGTGCCCACCACACCACCCTCCTCCTTCACACAGGAGACACACTCAGAGAGACCAGGAGGACAGGTGCGCAGGCTCCACGCCCACCCTCTCGCTGCACCTGCCTCTGGGCTGCAGGGACTTGCAGAGATGACCTTCATGGGAATAGAGACCTCCCCCTCCTCCAGGCCACACCTCCCGTCCAGTCACTATTCAGGATGTAACCCTGGCCCACACAGGTTGAAACACCAAAAATAGACCTGAGGGCCCTCAGCTCCATTAGTGGGAAAGGACAGCACATGGGCACACCCATGGGTCCCTGGGGCACATCCTCTCACTCTCCAGGTGACATCACCAAGGCTCAGGTAATAGGGAGACTTTCTAAGGAAAACACGTGGGTAGACTCTGAGGGTGGAGGCCTGGGGGCAGCCATGAGTGATGGGGACGCGTAGCCGTGCTTGCTGGCAGCCCCCCGCAGAGGGTCAGGCCTCAGTCTCAGGAGAGAGACGGGCAGGCCGCATGAGGACAGGCCCCACACAGGACCTGAAGGGGTGGATGGTGGTGGCAGCATCAGAGCCTGGGCCCCGTGGCCCTGTGCTCAGCGGGCAGTCTCCCCCAGGCCCACAGCTTCCTCCCGGGGGCAGGCTGGGGAGAGGCCTGGCACTGCTGCTTTAAGCAGCTGTGTGAGCCTCTGTACCTCAGTTTCCTCATCTGTGGTTGCAAAGCGTCTCATGGGGTGAACCCATCTCCACTGAGACGATGCCAGCCTGCGCTGCGCTCCCCACAGCAGGACGGGCCCAGTGGGTGCCCCCGCTCCCAAGGGCAACCTGGACTAAAACTGCCGGCGGCCAAGCGCCTGAAGGCCTCAGGGGTGGGCTGGGGTCTTGCTCCAGCACCTCGCTCTGGGAGCAGCAGGCGCGTGGGCAGGAGGCAGCGGGCACCAGGCCTCACTTACTTCATACACTTGATCCACTCCTCCTTCTCCTCGGGCGTGGGGGCTGAGATCCGGTACACGGTGTGGTTCCCTTCCACCACGCGCCCGTCGGCCTCCGTCTTGCAGGCCTTGATCACCTGGTCTTTATTGTCAGGGATGTAAAGCTCAAAGCAGTTCTGAAACGAGAGGGACGAGAGGGACGGCCCTTCCTTTACCCTTCACCCCAGCCTTCAGGAAACCTGGGCTGGGTGTTTCCTATGGAGACGGGCAGCCCAGCGCAGGACGCCTCGGGCCCACTGCACGCCACTCAGACTGTCGGGAAGACGGCCTGGCCCGCGCCCCCTGTTCCTGCGGACGGGCTGCAGGGCTCGCAGCGCCCCAGGAAGCCACACCAGCAAAGGAAACAGGCACGAAGGCGCGCCAAGGTCACAAAGAAGGCGCAGCCCAGGCCACAGGTGCGCGGTGCTGCCATTTGAGGGACGATTTCCATACTGCGTGTGAGGGTGAGAGGGTGACACCCAAGCAGAACAAGACAAAGGAAGCTTAGTGCCCCTCTGGCCGGACACTAAAGGGAAAGGGACAGGAAGGTGACTGGAGGCGACGCTTCTCAGGGTGTTCCTCAGAAGGCCTTTGGGACTCCGTTCCTTGGCCCGCCCCCAGTACCTCATCAGGATACTCACGGGCTTCTTGGAGTCCTCCACCTCCCGGATGCTCAGGTTCTCTAAAGGGATGATGCCACGGGGCTCCTTATCCTGAGGGCAGTGCCAAGAGGAAGATGTCACCACCCCACGAGGACACTGTGACCTCACCAGCCGTCCTCTCCCCATCCTCCTGGACATGAAGCTCCGACAGCTTCAGGCCATCCTGAGTTCCAGGGTGGAACAGTCCCAGGATCTGGAACCCTCTAAGTCCCTTGCAGGTAGACAGCCAGGAGGCCCACAGAGCCTCTGGTGTGTGCCTGGCAGTGACCCCGGGGCCACATGTGGGGACTGCAGGAGCTCCTTCCCAGAGAGAGGACCTGCCCTGCCCCTCGTCTCTTTGCTTGGCTCTCCTCCTCTTCTCAGCCCTAAGTCTGGTGCCAGCAGTTTCTAGAAGCCTCCCCAGCCTCAGGCTGAACACCCCTCAGCCTCCGCTCACCTCCTACCCCCTTAAGAGCGCACAGCCCTAGAGAGACGTCTGCCAACAGCTCCACCCAGACCCGTCTCCAGACAGAGCCGAAAACCCAGCACACGGCTCCTCCCGGGCGCGGCCCCTCTGTTCTGAAAGGCTCCTGCCCAGTGCACACCACCACCGCCAGCACCCAGCCGGCTACGTCCACACTGGCGTTGGATCACAGTCACACAGGCACAAACGCCCAGGCCCACCAGTGCGAGCTCCCTCCCACGGCAGCTCTTCTCACCTCCAGCCAATCGGCTGGCGCTGGCCTCCAACCTCCCCTGAGCACGCCTCTGCCTGGCTGCGGAGAGCCACCTGCAGAAGGGGCTCACCTCCTCTTGCCTCGGCCCCAGCCACGTGGGGTCTGCGTGAGCACCACTCTGCCCGGCAGGCTGTGCCACGGAGTGACCTGCTTTCCCCTTCCAGAGTGAGTGGGGGGCTGCTCCTTCTGTCTGTCTTCCCCAATGTCTCCCCTCTTGTCAGAAGCTTCTCTTGTTCTACCTCCTGCAGGCCCCTGCTGGCTCAGCTCCTAGGCGAGATCCCTCAGGGGCCTCGGCATCCTCCACCCGGGCACTTCCTCCTCAAGTGCCCTTCTCCCTCCCTCCCTCTCTGTCCTCCGTGTCCCCTCAAGACCCTGCTTCTTCCTGGAGCCACAGCGTCTCCTGTTCTTCCTGGGCACGTTTGGAACACCCTCCACTGGGCCCTGAGTGGGCGTGGGGCCACTGCTGAGGTGCCTTGGTGGCTACTGAACGGACAGTGGGCTGGGTGCAGGCGTCCAGGTGGTTGGTGACGAGACCCTCAGAGCTCTGAAGCATGGTGTCCCCGTCTTCAGCTTTCAGAGTCACTCTGGTGCTGAGCTCTCCTCTGCCTCCTTGCTCTGCGACTCCACAGGACGTGGCCCTGGGGTGGACCTCGTTCCAGCCGCTGTGCAGGGCACTGGGTCAGTCTTTTTACCTGGAGGCGCAGCCTTCATCTTGGAGAGGTTTATTAAACACCGTCTTGTTGAGGACCACCTCCACGTTGAATTCTTGTCCTCTCTGGAACACGTGGGGCCTCCTGGTCTAGCTCTTGTTTTTATTTTAAAAACAACAACAACAATAAAAGACACCAGAACTTTATTGTCTTTTTACTCTTCCTGGCAATTTTCTCGATGCTGCCTCCTGTCTCCCTCCTGGGCTCACTGCAGGGCCCTTCCTGTTTCCCGGGCGCTGGGTGCGACCTCTTGCGGTTGCCGGAGGCTCTCTCCCACGAGTCCTCTTCCCCACGAGCTCCGGGTTCGGAAGCCTTCCTCAGGTCCTGGGACTCTCTGGCTGTGCAGTGGGGAGCAGGGGCCAAGAGCTGGCGGGGTGGTGGACTGGGGGCTCGTCTGTGCGGAAGCCTGCACAGAGGGCAGAGGGCCTCTCTCTCTGCCTGATCAGCTGGACTCTGAGAGACGGACGGGGATGGGCAGAGGTCAGGTGCTCGGATACTCCTGTTTTTGTATGCTGTCCCACCCTCGACTGTGCCCAGGGCCCTCAGTCCAGGGACACTTGGTGTCACTCTCTTGAGATGTGGCCCTGCAGCCGGGTGTGGTGCTAGTGATGGCCAGTCGGCCTCCTCAGCACCTCTCAGCCAAGTGCGCGACTCCAGCTCCCACCCCCCCCCCCCCCCCCCCCCCCCCCCGTGCTCTTGCTTCTAGGGTTCGCTGGCGCTTGGGCCTCTGGAATATTCTTCTGTGTTCCCTGGGTTGGGTGCTGCCGGGGAGCGGGTGGGCAGGCTAAGAGCTGACATAATTTGGGCTTAATGGGGATGTGACCTCATTTTCCCTCTTAGACTGTTGGGCCCAAGTTATCAGGGACACAGTGGCACGATGTGTGTTCTGGACATTGAAGGATTCACACCTGCCTAGAGCAGTGGTCACTACTTTCCCTGTGCCCATCTTGTCTGTCCTAGCACCCTGTTCACCACAGACCTCCCTGCGCTCCTCCTCACACAAGGCCAGAGCTCCTGAGTGGACTCAGGAGCTCTCCCATCTGTAGGTGATCCAAGCACTGAAGGTCGGGCTCCTGGCCAACAGGGTGAGGTTCCGAGTACTGCAAGGCTCCTACCTCTAGGGTCCTCATCCCATAAGCAGATCCAGGGGCTGGGAGTGCAGCTCAGTGGTAGAGCCTGGCATTGGAGGGGTCCTGGGTTTGATTCCCAGCACCAAAAACAGGTGAATGAATGAGTGAGCTGGACCGCCAAGCCTAGGAACAGACACACAGCACTCCTCACAGAGGCCCACCCAGGCCCAGCAGTCACCCGTCCCCATGAAGACAGAATCAACCCGTGCTGACATCTTTGGCTTATTTGGTTTTTCTTAAGTGCAAGTGCCTTTGTTTTTGTAAAAATAATATTTGCTCATTATAAAGAGCTTAAAATATTGCAGAAAAGAACAAACATCCCAAATCCACTCACTATAAATCATCACTTCTGACAGGAGTTGAAGCTATTTTGTGTGTGTGCAGAGAAAGAAAAAGAAACAGAACAGGCTTCAGGAAAGTGGGCTATTTCACAAGGTGTTTTCATAAAAAAATTCTATTTGTACAGAATTTAGTAGGAAAAAAAACCTGCAGCAACAACTGAAGTGTTAAACTTCAAAGTAAAGTGCTCTTTGCTACAAGAGATAACTCCTAAAACAACCTTATACAAGCTTAAGACAGTATGAAGAACCTTCAGAGGTGGTGGTCATCCTTACAGATGCAGGTTTTTAACACTCTGTGCTCCGGGAGGCGCGGCACCTGCCTGCGGTGTGGCCCCGCCCCTCAGCAGGACCCCGGGCATCACCTGGAGCTCACAGGCTCCATGCAGGCCGCGAAGACCTTGCGGGTGGACCAGCACCTGCAGCAGAGTGCTGACCTTGGCGTTCTTCTTTCTCCTATCTTATTTCTTTTGAAGTTTCTTTCACCATTTTCTGTTTAAAATCCCTTCCTCCTCTGGGCCAGCCTGGCCCGTTCCTGTGGCCCGGGGTGCAGCGCTCAGAGGGAAGGTACCACTGTACGCCTCAAGCAGCTCTTCACTAGGCTTGGTGCAGCCCAGCTCACCAGTGGACGCACTGTGGACAGCACCCGTGATCGCTGTTTTGTGAGTTCAAAAGGAGAAGCTCCCCACGTCCAGCCCAAGGCAGGGCACTCGCCTGGCTCCTGGACCGTGTGTGGCAGGGGCCATCCGTGTGCTGGCAGCAGGCATCCCAGCCTGGGCTTCCTCTTCTTGTGGTGGGCTCTCTCCTGCCCTGAGCCAGTGGTCCTGAGTGTCCAGCGCCCGGCACCGACTGGAAAGGGCTTACTGGTGCCTACTGACTCTTTGCTTGAGAGATAAGACGCACCCTCAGAGTTCTGGGCGTCATTTCTGGTTCCACCTCTGACTGTTGTTGCTTACTTCACTTCCCGTTGCCCAGGCTGATCCCATCCCGACTGTCCCGCAGCCACCATCTACAGTTAGTCCACAGCAGTTCCTTGTTTAAGTGAGTCCGTTCCAGCCCAGTGGACTTCAGGGCCACTCTATATTTCAGCACTAGTTCATGAACGCATTCAGCCCAGGGCTGTTTCTACCTTGGCAACAGTCCCACATCCCGGGGCCCTGGGTGCGGGTCCCAGGTTCCCCACAGCTGGCACTCGCCCGGTCCCAGTGCCAGTTCTCAGCACCAGCACGTGCTCTGGCTGTGCGGGAGTGGCCGGGTAAGCTCTGCGGCCAGGCGCGCCTTAGTGCTGACCGGCAGCATGCGCAGCGCCGGGCCAGCTGTCCCACATGTAGTGTGCAGCAGCGCCAGGCCACACTGAAGAGGTGCGCTCAGGGCTCCCGGGGGTCTTCTACACCCCACGCCCTCTTATGGTCATTCTTTCCTGGTTGGCTTTGACCGTCCAGTGGCATCTTTCGAGGAGGGTCAGGTGTCCGTTTCCCACCCCTGCTGCTTGATACAGTCCCTGGTGAGCTCTGCAGGAATGGCAAGGTGGCTGCACAGGGGGTGGGGGCTGCCCCCCAGCCCCTCAGAGCTTGCACGCTGGGCCGGTCCACCTCGGCCAGGGAAGACGGCTGGGACTGGCTGCTTTTGCAGCCAAGGCCGGTGGCCCACCCCTGCTGGCCGAGCCCTGTGAGGAAGCTCCCTGGAGCTCTTGCTGCGGTGCGGCCTGCTATCCTCTGTCTCTTCCCTTACCCTTTCAGGGAAACAGACCTCATCTCCAGCACGTCCTGCCTCTGCCTGGCGGGGCCTCTGTCCTGGGCTGTGCGCAGACCCTGTCTTCCACATGGCTGCTGTTTCCCCAGCTGCTCCACACTCTCTTCAGACGCGGTCTCTGGGACGGTGGCTGTGGTTGGGCCAGCAGGCTGACCTTCTGGAAGGACCCCTCACTCCTGCTCTGCACGCTGCCCTCCAGGTGCTCTGGCAAGTCTGAATGGCTCTAGATTCTCTTCCCCTCAAGTCTCCGACCTTTGTGTCTCCTTGGTCACTCCCCTGAACTGTGATGGAGGCGAAGGTATTTTGAATTCTAGCACTTTCTATGCCATCACAATGAGTGGCAGGCAAGCTCACATGGTGCAACCTGAGCACTGCTCTCCTCTGGGTTGTGAATGCCCAGGGCAGGGCCTCCTGGCTGCCCAGTGACACCCCAAGGCTGCATCACCGAGTGCCATGAGAGTCCAGAACCGCATGACCCTGCAGGCACCTGTCCAGCACATGTGCAATGCCACTTAACCAGAGGACATTGACAGAGACCAACAGATGTCCAGACACCAGGTATAGGCATCTTCAGGAAAGAAGGCAACCCGCGCTCGGGGCCAGAGGTGGCAGAACGCCTTCCCTGCTCGTCTGCTCGGAGGCCTTGGCTCACCAGGAGAAAGCTCACCCTCTGTGACTTCACAGATCTGAGGGGCGCTGCTCTGATACCTGAGAATATCTTCAATACAGAAAGGAAGCACAGCCAGCTGCTGGACCCCCGGTCAGAGCTGTGCCTTGAAGGCCACCACCCGTCCATTAAGAGAGCCCGTGGGAGGACACTGAGGTAACCCTGACACACGTGTGCAGCTCGGCCCAGGTGAGAAGCCACATCTGCATGACGTTCTCAGTGACGGAGAGCAGGGTGAAGCCACAGTTCCAGAGGGCAGCCAGGTGCTGCGGCCCAACCCATGAGCTGCCAGGCGGCGGGACCCTGCTGCCCGAGTTACCACCTCAGTGGGACCGAGGACTTCACGCAGTGACAGCCAGGGGAAGAACAGCAGTGAGCGTTCCCAGCTCAGCCACAAGACCCCGCCTCACACTGCCGGGCGCCCACACTTCTGGGCGTCCACCAGGAGGCCGGCAGAGTCGGCAATGCCAGGCCACTGGTGTGAGCGCGGCATGAACACCGTCACCTGCCGGGCTCTCTGGCGCTTCCCCTTGCTTTCTATCCCCACAGGCCACTGCCACAGAAGGGAGGAGACAGACGCAGAATCGCTGGGTCCTCCTCCAGGGAACAAAGCCCACAGAACCTGTCTGGTTTAAGGAAACTCGAGCTTCGTAGAACTCCAGATGGTCTCAAGTCAGCTTTTACTGATTTGCTTCACTTCCTTTTCTCCATTGAATTTTATGCCCTGAGCTGTTTCAGAGAAACAAATCCTTCAGTTTCTGCTACCCCAGAAAAACCTGAATTCTCCAGTGCACCACGCTGCCTTGTCCCCACACGTCCCTCTCAGCAAGGCCACCAACTCCTGCTTGGCAACTGATCTAAGTCCATTCTTTCTGGCCAGCTCCAAACCCACCCCAACACGGTGCACACTGCTCTCTTGGGTCCCTCCTGGAACCAGGTGCTGCTGAGCTGTACTCCTGGGGCCAGGGGCTCCACATCCCTGTGAGGGCTCCCCGTTCTGGGGGTCCCCTTAGTTCTCACCTGTGGCTTCAACCCTTCCCCGACCCCAGAGGAGTTGTGGAAGGACAAATCCCTCCACTCCCAGGCCCCTTGACGGAGCTTGGTTAGAGTGTTCAGAGAGGCCTGAGCCGTCCCGAGGAGCGACGGCAGGTGCTCACCGTGGTGTATTCAAAGTAGTAAAGGCAGTTGTCAGTCAGGATGAACCAGCGCCTCTTCCAGGTCTTGACCCTGCCACCTACAGAGCAAAGAGAGAGGAGCTTGGACAGGAGACCCAGCGCCCGGTCCACAACACACGGCACTGTCTTCTGGGGAGGGGCGGGGCAGGGTGTCGGGGAACATTTAGACCATGGCAAAGCTGACACCAGTGACGAGACACAGCCAAGACAAAGCATCTTTCACGACGTGAAAGTCTATGGGTACGAGCAGAGCAAGCGTGTCCAGATGACTCCCGAGATGGGTCAGACAGCAGATGAGAGAGAGCATGGCTGGGGAGGACCCCAGGGGCGACAATGACATGTATCGCAAATGTGCCGCAGACGGGAGGAGCAGCCAAAGCCTGCGTGGTGGACAAGGGCAGCGCGGAGAGGAGGCGGGGCCTGCACCCTGCACAGCTGGCTGCCACTGACAACCAGCCAGGCCCCGAGAAGGCTCCACGGAAGTGACAGGCGGCAGTGGACGGGGAGGAAGCATGGCAACCTGTCAGTGAGGTCCATTTCCCTGGGACTCGAACCACGTCCCTTCACCCTCTACCCCCCTGACCGAGGCGAACTCCCGCACCAGCTGGAAGCCCTCTGGGCTGGGGTCCTGAAAACAAAGCCCTTGGAGTCCTGGGGGAGCATCAACGCAGATTCCTTCACCCAGAAAGAAGCGACTCTGTGGGGAGTGGGGCTGTTGCCTGGCACATGGAGAGTCTGCTGGGCCGGCAGCACAAATGGCTGCTGCGAGAGGGCTGGGGCCAGACGGGGCTCCCGTGGTGACCGAGCACTCAGTGCTCTCAATACTTCCCATGAGCGAAGGTGGGTCCTGGAGTCACACTGGGACAGACCCAAGGAAGGCCAAGCTCACTGCCTGGCTGGACGGAGCCCTCTCCCAGCAGACCCTCGGCCTGCAGCCCCTGGCTGAGGAGCGCACCTGAGGCCTGCAGCCCCTGGCCAGGCCCGTCAGGTGAAGGCTCACCTTGCGCCCGCTTTTCTCAGCTCCACCCTGTCACTGAGTCCTGACCCCCAGGGAGGGCCGTGTCCCCAGTGTGCCCCTGGAAGGACCTGGTGGGCACTCTCCTGCCCTTCTTGCCAATGGCCTGCAACAACGGGTCAGTTTTTTGGGGACTCTTTCCAATTGCCAGGACCTGTCTGTGGGCTCGCCCAGAGGAAACCTGAGGAAGCACTGCCCAGGGAGCACAGGGCGCGGCCGGCGGGCCACTTCGGCTCTGTGTGGTCCTGAGCTCTAGCCAGTTTCTACGTGGCACACCTGGGTTCCCAGAGGGAGCAGGCCACAGGCACACAGGCCCCGCAGCCAGGAGGCCCCTGCCAGCAGAGGCTGACCCCATGCACTGGGTCAGTCATATGTAAATATCCCAAGGGTTATGTGGCAGGATGCCTGCACACCACCGAGGCCGGGCAGACCTGGGTGCCAACAAAGAGGTCACAGGAGGAGATGCGGTCACAGGAGAGACCGTCTGCTTTTACAGAGGACCCTCCCCCATTTCAGACTCAGGGCGGGGCTCCAGCTGCCCAGGAGACTGTGCCCCTGGCAGGCCTCAGCACACAGGAACCACCAACCCAGGCCACCGCCCGTGCACTGTCATAGGACACCACCCCAGGTGACACTGGGACTTAGCAAACCATGAAAAAGGTGGGTCAGATGCCAAAAGGAACAGGATGGAAGGAGATCAAGGAGAAGAAGCAGAGCTGCAGGAGTCCCCGGCTGACCCCAGAAGGCTGCGTCACCCTGACCACGCGGTGTTCAGGGTCCTCACCAGGAGCACTGCTGCAGGCTCAGGGGAACGTGTCCATGTGGACAGAAAAACAGACATGGGACAAGCAGACAGATCGATGTGCGCTAGGACAGTCCCTGTGGAACTCACAGGGCCCCCCCGCACGCTCCTCGTCCCCTCCAGGGACGCCTTCCCTCCAACACTGAAGACAACCTGACAGGCCCCAGTCATGTGGGGAGGCCAACCTTGGGTCTCTCCCACTGTGGCTCTGCTCGAGCCGGGCCAAGGCAGAGAGCTGAAGGGTGCCCGGCCTGCCCGGCCTCCCCGGGTCTCCCCAAATCAGCAAATGGGGCGCAGATGCCCTCGACATAGCTCCGAGGCCAATTTGGGATTCTAAGGAGGACTCACTGGGAAAGGAGGAGGGCGGAAAGCACACACCGGAGTTGAGGCTGTGCCCTCCCGCGAGGAGAGGCCTCGGGGCTGCGGGCAGGGCTCTCAGCCCTGGGCATTAAGCTTCACCTGGCACCATCCAGGGCGGGGAGAGAGTGCCTCCTTTTCTCACGGACGTCAGTGGGGATTCACTTCTGTTTTCTGTGCCAGGGATTGAAGCCAGGGCTGCTTCACCACCGACACATACCCCAGGCCTTTTTATTTTTTATTTTGAAACAGGGTCTCACGAAATTGCTTAGGGCCTTGCTAAGTTGCTGAGGCTGGCTTTGAACTTGCCATCCTCCTCCCTCAGCTGCTGGGATTACAGGCATGCACCACCTGCCCTGCATCAATTTGAATTAACACAGCACACGCCTGCGGATAATTTCAAGAAAATGCAGTGGGAACCTCTGTCTTCACAAGCCCTCTCTGAGCACGCCCTCTCGAATCACTGTGCTGGGGAAGCTGGCCTGCACCTGGGCACCTGCTGTCCAGTGTACTTCATCCCCATAATGGGAACATGGAGAGCAACCCCAGCCCCGAGCCTGCCCCGTTCCCTAGGGACTGTGCGATAAGTTAGAAGCAGCATTAACACTACCACCAGCGATTAAAACAAAAAAACCAAAAATAACAAAATAAGAAAATGCTGCAGCAATGACAGTGGCCTGGGCAGAGCGCGAGCGGTGCAGGTTACATACCTCCTGGAGTTGGGGCGGGGAAAAGGAGAGCCAAAACCATGGGAACATACAAATGAGGGAGAAAAGAAAATTAACACAAAGAAACCAAACCACTTCCTCAACCTCAGAGTGCAGGCATCGGCCGCGCTGAGTCTGCCCGGGGAGGGAGCTGACCCTGCCAAGTGGGCAACCGGCCTCCTGCAGGCCCAGACCTGAGGTGCCACTGAGGACCTGGTCCCAAGGATGCCACAAATCCATTTTTGTAAGGCTAATGGTCACTAGTCTGCCCAGAATCCAGAGCAAAGAGGGAAAGTGACCTCAGGGAGAATCAAACAGCTTTCTTTAGATGCTGTCTCTCTTAAAAGTATGTGCAAGAATGCACACGTGTGTACCCATGAATACACGTGCACGTATGTGTGTGCACAAGAATAGACATGTTTATGGCCACACACACACACACACACACACACGGACATGCACACAGCCTCAGGGGCTGCTGGTCCCGCCTGCTGCCCCACAGACTCCAGGGAGTGACCACGTGTGCCACGGTGACAACTCCTGAGCCCGGAGGGGGAGTGGGACGCAGGGCCCAAAAGCGAGCCTCAGGTCCAGGTAAATGGCTTTTTTGGGGGATGGGTCTCACTGTGCTGCCCAGGCCAGCCTCCAATTCTGGGGCTCATGTCTCCCAGAGGCTGGGACTAAAGGTGCAGATCACTGCACCCAGCTTTATTTTTTTTCTTTGTAAACGTATGGGTGCCTCATGAATTTGCATGTCATCCTGGTACAAGAACCGAGATGATCTTTGTTCTAACTTTAGTACCTAAGCTGCCAGGGCGAACACTCAGTGTTAGCATTTAAACGAATCTCACTGGGGGGAAGTAAATCCTAAGTTTCCAGTATGATACCCTTTTACCTCCTCTAACTCCACCCGGTTGGTGGTTTGGAGATAGGGAAGTAGAGCAGGCTGCCTGTGGGGTTAGCGACTTTAGAGACTCTATGGCCTCAGGACTTGTGAAACATTAGCCAATTCAAGAGAACCGCAAGGCGCACGCAGCCAGTGAGGTGGTGCTTGGGGACTTATGAACTAAGTCATCATGTCTGAACATAAGAACTTGGGCTCTCCCAAGGAATGTAAGTCCTGCTGCCATCTGGACTGGTCAGAAACAAAAGCCCCTGCTTCTGCCTTCCCCATGTGTGGGGTGGGAGCGCAGGTCCTAAGGCGCCCCACTGCTCCCGTGGGAGCCAACTCAGCAACACCAGCAGGAGGAAACAGCAAAGTGTCTCCAGAGGCCCAAGCAGGGACACGGTCATGTGGAGATCGTCTGTGCTGAACCACCAACAGGATGACCACGTGTGAACACGGACGTGTAGGAAACCCTGCACTTCCTCCCACGTGTCTGCTTTCCCGCCGAAGGCCCTTCGAGCCCTCTGGGGCAGGGGAGAGGAGGACTGCCAGCGGTGCTGAGAGCAGAATGGGCAGTGTGGCTGCGGGAGGGCCACTGCGCGAGGATGAGGAGGAGCGCTGGGCTGAGGGGCCAGGCCCGGGGTTGCCATGCACACTGCCTGTGGGAGCAGATGCAGCAGGAAGTGACGATGTGCTGGGCGGGCGGGAGTGCCATCACAACTCTGGGATGCGCAGTAGAGAGATGGACATGGCAGGTCACCCTCCAGGGTTAAGGGGCGGGGGTGGGGTCCAGGTCCTTAGGCCATCAATTCTAGAGCACAGGGCCAGACAGGTGTGGGCAATGCCCTTGGGGCAGAGCCTGTCCTAGTGGCTCTGTGACCCTGGCTGTGCCAGCTGCCTCCTTTCTGGAGGGGGACTTTGCCAGAACAGAGCCAGGCGGACTCTCTGCAGGGTGCTGTGCCCACCCCCGCCTCCTGTGGCCTGTCCTCAGAGTTCCTGCCCGGACCCGTGGCCAGGGCTGGACTCACCAAGCTTCAGGAGCCAGCCTTCTCGGTCTGGGTTGAAGAAGGTGTGAGTGAGGTCGTTCCCGTCATCCTCTGGGATCTTAAAGGGCTCGTTTTTTATGCTCTCGTACAGATTCTGGGATAAAAGACGACACTGTATGTCTCTGATTCTAGAAGGATCTCTCCCCCCATTCATTCCACAGGCACTCACTGTGCGCCTGCAGAGAGCACGTGCCCCCCAGGGCCCTGGGACTAGGGGAGCAAGACGGGCACTGCTACTACCCACGGTGACAGGCAAGCAGCCCCCCGTGGAGGCTGGGGGAGAAAGGGAGGCTGCCTGCCTCTGCTGGAACCCGCAGCTTCAGCTGCAAGCCACCCCTCCTCACTCCTAGTGGCACCCCACCAACACGTCAGTGGGATTCACAGGAGCAAGGGAATGAACCGAGTGGGCACGCCACTCTGTGCCCTCTCTCCCTGTCCCGCCCAAGGGCACGGGAGCCACCCCGCTGGCTCACCCGGAGCAGCTCCTCGGGCAGGTCCCCCCCGTCATTGATGCCCCGATTCATGGCGATGAAGCGCTCCACGGTGGGCTTGTCCTTGACGTTGGGGTTGTGCAGGCTGGTGTTCAGCATGATGATGGCGAAGGACAGGACGTAGCAGGTGTCTGGCGGGAAAGCACAGCCCGATCAGAAACACCCCCCAGGAGGGGAGCCAGCGCCACCCGGGGAAGCCCAGCTCCCAGGGCCCGGGGAGCCATGAAGTGACCTCTGGGCACAGCCACCTGCAAGACGAGGACACAGGTCCATGCCGTCCTTGAGACTAAAAGATGCTGTGTTTTCAGACTGAAAGGAGAACACGTACATGGCAAGAAAACCCAGCCAGGTATAAAACAGAGAACACAAACATCTGCAGTCCCACTGGTTAGCAAAAACCTGTTGCTTTACCTCCTCTACTAAATGTGCCTGTGCGTGATACTGCAAGTGCATCTCAGGGACCCAAACTGCAACAAAGTCTGACTCAAACTGACCTGTGTGCACCCACCCCCACACAAACTCACGCGTTTACATAGTGCTTTTCTGCTAATCTGGTCATTTGCCATTATCAATAGAATTCTTCATAAAAATGTGATTTTTTTTTTAATGGGCGGTTCCAATGTATTGCCTAGGCTGCCCTCAGACTCCTGGGCTCCAGCGCTGCTCCTGCCTCGGCCTCAGCCTCCTCAGAGGCTGGCACTAGAGGCACATGTTCCCATGCCCAGTTTTTAAAAATCTGATTTTTCCCCCTTGAAGGGGGGTTCTTCACCGAGGGTTCTTCACCATTGAGCCACAACCTCACCCCTTTCTATTTCTACTTTGAGACAGGGTCTTGCTAAGTTGCTGAGGCTGGCCTTGAACTTGTGACCCTCCTGCGCCAGCCTCCCAGGCATTGGAATCACAGGAGTGGCCAACCATGCCTGGCTCACACTTGATTTTTAAGAGCTATATGTCATAGTTGAGAGGCACCACAATTTATATTCCCAGGGCCGTAACGCTGGACTTTGGGATCACTTCCAAGTATTTTCTATTATAAATACCACTAAAAAAGTGTGTGTCTGCATGAACCTGAGCCCTCTGTTCCAGAGCAGAGCCTGACACCAGGAGGAGGCCGCTCACCCGTGGACTGGAACACGCCCGAGTTGCACTGGCAGTACCGCTGGGCAAAGGCCTCCATCATGCGGTCGATTTTCTGGGCCTCTCCGGGGAGCCGGAAGCTCCATAGGAACTGCCTGCATGGCAGAGAGAAGGCGTCCAGGACAGGGCCGGGCCCCGGGAACAGCTCCACTGCCCACGACTTCCGACACCCCAGGAAAAGGAGGCTGGGCGAGGTGCTAGTCCTGTGCAGCCGCGGACCTCCCGCCCACACCACCGCCACTTCCACCCAAGGCCCAGTGCCCGGGAGAAAAGGAGACCCCGGCCTTCCTGTTCCAAAGAACCACTCTCCTCCTCAGAAGACCCCAGACTGAAACACAGATGAGCTCCTCCTAACGACTCCAGGACAGGCCAGCACACCCACAACTGACCCCTGAAAGTCGGAGAGAAGCTGCGACCCTAGGTTTTTCTTTTCGGAACCTGGGACCTCTTGCGTGCTGGGCAAGGGCCCCACCAGGAGGGGAGCTGGAGGCACCCCACCCAGGGCAGGTCTGACTCTGTGCTCTTTTCATCTATTAAAGTAACAGGACAAACGATGATGTGATTAGTTCTGCCTATGGCAATGAAAATATCAAAGGACAATTTCTGATGTCCCAGAATAAAAAAAATTAGTGAAAAAGTGAGGTTGACTTTTTCCTTTCTAAAATGGAATGGAGCACGCTATCTATCTGGGCAAGATATCGAAGGGTTTCTAAACCAAAGAACAGAAAAGATCTCAAAATCGACGGGAGGCTTCCTCGGCTTCCCAGACCTCAAGTTGGAGATGCAGGGGGTCCCACATCCCCTGCCCCTTGAGCACATCCCCCAGGGCCCAGGATGGGTGCGGAGCCGCCTGCCGCGAGCACACGCACCGCAAGGCCTGGACGAGGTTCAGGTCGGTGAACTCGTGAAGCTCCACGAAGGCGTGCAGGACCTGGAGGTTGAACTCGTCCCTGTTGGGAGCAGGTGAGAGATGGGCAGGAGCAGAGGTCAGTACCGACCCCGACCCCCCAGGCAGCGTTCCCGCACCAAGTCCTAGGGCCACCGGCTTTCCAGGAAGGCCATCCACACAGTCAGGGCGATGCCTGGGTCACTCTGCTTACTGGCTAAACAAGTGTCCCCATGCCTCCTCGACAGACCAGCTGCCACTCCCCAGCACCTGGCACTATCTGACTCGCTCCCTTCTTCGCCCACATGGCCGCTGCTGCCTCCCACCCAGGGCTCCCGCGGCGCCCAGCATCACCTCTCCCCCAGGTAGTCGCCGATGGCCGTTTTGTTGAGCCCCTCCCCCTTGTACAGGAACTGGGCGATGTCCTCACAGGTGTCCTTCAGCAGGTCATTCTCTATCAAGAACTGGATCCCCTGGGGAGAGGCGTGGGAGTGTGAGGCCTCGGAGGAGGGTCGTGCGGGGAGGGTCAAGGTCAGGCTCAGGACACTCGTCAGGAGAGGCGGCTTGGAAGGACGCCTGTGGTCCACCTGAGCCAGACCCGCCTGGAGGCCGAGGCTCTGCGCTTCCTTCACCTACCTTCTTGGGGTCCATGTTGAATTTCTTCCTGCCCATGGCTACCTGTTTGTTCCTCTGCATGTTTTTCCTGAAAGACAACCACATGGCCCTCAGCGCTCTGGCAGAGGAGGTCTGAGAGGCACGACAGTCCCCATATGCGGCCCCCTCATGCAGTGCTGCTGGGTGGCCCTGGGAGGGCAGCAGGCCTGCTGAGCGAGGGCAGGGGACGCCCTGACACAGCTCTGTGCTGTTTCTACCCCAGACCTGCCGTTCTCTTTTTTGATGACATTTAAAAAAAAGAAACTTCATCGAGACACAACTCATATGTCATGTGACACACGCACTTTAGAAGTCTGCTTGAGGTACTGTCGGCTTACTCAGTGGTGTGCCCATCACCATAGCCAGTGCTAGACTGTGTCACCAGCCCCAGGATGTCCCCAGGCCCACTCCAGACACCCTCCCTCCCACCTCCACCCCAAGTAACCGTGGGTCCACCTGCTGTCTCCAGTGTGCCCACTCTCGACTCTTGCGAACAGCACCTGGCACTATCTGACTCGGCACGGTCCTGCTTGGCGTGTCCAGGCTCACCCACGCCTGGTGTGCACCAGTGCTCTGTCCCTTCCACCCCACGCACAGACACAGTGTTTCTCCTCCAGACGGTGGGCACTGGGCATCAGCCGCAGGGGCCATTGCATCTGAAATGCTGTGAGCACCATGTGCACCTCTCTGTGTGCATGGACATTCCTGCTTCTCTTGGTCAGAGTGGACACCAGTGGGTCATAGGGCGCATTTGTATTTAATTTCTCAGGAACTGCTCAGAGGAGCAGCAGTTTTCTTTGACTGTATTAGAACAAAAAGTGCAGACCTGCAGACACTCCTCAGACAGCCCGCTGCACACACCTGCAGCCTGAGCCAGTGAGCCAGGTGAGCACCTGAGCACACAGGTGTGAGGAGGCTGCTCTCACACACCAGCCTCCTGGGACCCCTTGCGGCAGCCTCTGGGCCACTGAGTCACTCAGAAGTTCCAGGGTGGAGCCAAGGAATCTCAACTTTGAAGACTTCTAACAGAAACTTTGGTGTGCATGCAAATTTGGGAAGCTCTGCAGTCAATGAGATGGCCCTTTACAGTCTCAGAGAGCAAACTCGCTGCTCAGAGACACACTTATAAAAGCTTCTGCCTTCAGGAGCACGTTTTCCCTGGCTAAATCCAAGGAGGGAACAGAGGCTCCTGTCTGGCGTGGTTTTAAAAGGGAAACAGAAAACTCTCAAGATGCTAGGAGGCCAGGACCTGAGGTGACAGGGTCCCCAGAGGAACAGCTGCAGAGGGCATGTGCAGCTTCACTCCAGCTGGAACTGACTGCTGAGTCCCAGTGTCTAGAAATTCCTACTGCATCTCAATGGTCCTCTCGTCATTTTCCTAAATCCAGGAAGGTCACTTGGCCCTGTATTTCCACACAAGAAAAACCCTGTTTTGTGATTTCCTGTAACAGAGGCCCTACTGAGCCAGACACGCAACCATGGTGACCCTCAGGGTCCTGCGCCTGTTTGGTCCCTAGTTGAAGAGACCACGCCCCCCCCCCAGGCCTGTGCGGTACTGGCCGCTGCCCATGGCTATCTGGACACTCACAGAGACTCGAGGCTCACCAGCTCTCCATGACGTCAGCTCATGCCCCCCGCCCAGCACCGAGACCGCAGCTCCCGCACAGGCCCTCTGCCGCCCCGTGTCTAAGAGGCCCTCCCCAATCTCCAAACCAGTGTCCCCCCACAGTGGGATCCCAAACAAAACAGCTCCTGCTGCTTCTGCATCACCTGAGACACGGGTCGACCCCTGCACTTCAGAAGGTTAGGACCCTACGGCACACGGGCAGGTCGTTTCTCTCTGATGAAGAACATTTAGGTCATTTCTACACAGTGCCGGCATCAGGCTTTTGCTTAGAACCTCGACAGGAGCACCAGACCCTCTTTGTACAGATGAGCAGGACCTGCAGGACAGCTCCCCCTAGGACTTCCGACACCAGAAAACCATTTCAAGTTCCAGAGTGAAAAACGTGTCACCCCATCATGGCTCCTGGCTCGACTGTGGTGCAGCTGTGGAGAGCTGCAGTCCCCAGGACCTGGCAAGCTGACTGTCGCAGGCGCCCAGCCACTCGGGTCCTGGAGTCATTTCCTGGGTGCACCATGACCACCTGCAGGCACTCACCAAGCAGATGGTGCCCGTGTTCTGAACATGCCTGTGCAGATGCCAAAACACACTGAGGTCAGGGGATCCTGGACCAGCACGAGGGGAAGTTTGCTCCCTCCGCGCTCTTCCGTGCTTACCAATGCCTGCGAGAAACACTCCTCTCTTTTAGAATCGGGAAAAAGCCATGGTTTCCTCTGTAAACTCAGGCACACTCCACATGCCTGAGCGCCCGGCTCAGGCGTCTGGACACGCGTGTGCAGCTGGAGGCCACAGCTGGAGGCCACCACTCCAGCCAGAGCCTGCTCCACCGGCCCTCTACGTGCCCTGCGCTCTCTACTATCGCAGCTGAGCCTGGTCTGTCCTGGAACCTCGCGAGCCAGTGGTCTGCACGCGGGCTCCACCTCACAGCGGCACACAGCAGCTGGCTCCTCCGCATTCCTGAGCAGACTGGAATCAACGTCCCCGACACTTCTTTTAGTGGACATGTCTCCATTTCTCTTGAGTAACCGTCCAGGAGTTGAGCTGCTGGGCCTCAGCGAGGGTGTGCACCACTTCCTAGGAGGGCGTCCTCTTCTCTGGCTGGTGCTCGTCAGGCCAAGTGCAGCAGTCTCAGTCCCAGCCGTCCAGGAGGGGGTGAAGGGGCTGCCACGGCAGCCTCCCCTGACGGCTCCTATCAAGGGCTGAGCTCCACGGCTGCTACACACACAGCTTCTCGTGTAGGGCATTCCCACCTGTGCTCACCTGTGCCTTGGGCATCTTCACTACTGAAGTGTGCGTGTTCTCTTCCGTCTGCTTGGATGGGCACGCTACAAATACCCGTCCACTGTGACTTTCCTATTCATACTTTCATAGTTATCTTTTGTAAGAGCAGAAGTTTCAAACTTTGATAAACTCTAATTTATCCATTTCTTTTTTTTTTTGTATTTATTTTTTAGTTGTAGTTGGACGCAATACCTTTACTTTATTTATTTATTTTTACGTGGTGATGAAGATGGAACCCAGGGCCTCACACATGCTAGGTGAGAGCTCTACCACTCAGCCCCAGCCCCAGCCCCAGCCCCTATCCATTTCTTTTAAGCTATAATTTTTCAAATGGAAAGTAAGAAAGCTGTAATCCAAAACACCAAAATGACGATCCAGAGCCTGGAAGTGACGAGCTGGCTGCCCTTCCCGGGGCCCCGCCCACACCAGGCTAAAACAGGGAGCAAAGGGCGGAGGAAGGCCGACAGGCGGACTCGGGCTCCGAACAGCACAGACGTGCAGGGACCTGGAGACAGCCCACGGGCCACATTAGGAATCAGAAGGCAGCCCGGGAGCCCACTCAGGACCACACCACCAGCATCATGTCGCTCAGAGCAAGACGGAGCGCCAGCCCTGGTCAGACACCCTGACCAACTTCTGTGCTCTCTCCCCTCGACTGGAGGGAGCTGCAGACAGGCTCAAAGCCTTGCTCAGGGCCCTCGAAACTCTTGGTGGCATTTGTTAAGCTTCCTTTGTACAAAGAAAGAGCGAGACTCCAAATACAAGTAGCGGACAAGAGGGGAAGCCACGTCAACAATGGGAAAGCCTCGGCACGGCTCAAGCTTGTGCAAAGCTCCCGCAGGGAAGACTGGCCGGCAGAGGTGCGGGCCTACGTGGGCCCGTGCGGGGCAAGGACTCTCTCCTCCCAGAGGGCGGGTGGGTGCGTGAGAAGCCGAGCAACGTGGCGCCCAGAGCAGGGCAGACTCACCTCTCCTCTGTGGATCCCAGGTTTTCAATCTCATTAGCAACTTCTGCTATCTCCTCCTTCAGCCTCTGTGAAGAGATGGCCAGAGTTACCAGGAGGGATGCCGCAGACCAGGGATCCTTCCCAAGCCTCGCACCTGCTGCCTTGGCCCGAGACAACACAGAACAGCAGGATGTAGCAGTCCCCACGAGCAGGGCCGGAAGCCGGCTACCCCAGGCCTGCCACGCCCCCCAGGCACGTACAGCAGGGAGATGCAGCTCCTGCCTCAGAGCTCAGGTGTCCCGGGGGAGCACCCACCACCGGGAGGAGGCCACCTGATGCACATTCTTAGGACAGATCTACAGCTCACCAAGCAGGGTGACAGAGGTCCTGGGCGCACTCTCATTCCCAAGGCCTGGTGGCACTGACCCACCCCATGGCTGGCAAAGGGGACATTCAACCAGTTCTACCTTGACCAAATCCACCCTCTTCCCTCCACCGTCCCCTTCAGTGGCTCTCAGGACGGAGGGCTGGGAGCGCCATTCCACCTCCCCGCCTTCACCAGTGAACCAGGAATTACAGAATCAGGCCCAGTGAGGAAGCCCCCAACCAGCGGAGCAGGACGGCGACTGCTCTCACACTGTGGCCGGGCTCCAGGCCTGTCCTCTTCCCACCCCTCACGATGTCCAGGAAACTCAGAAGGGAACACTTGCTGCCCCCGGGCGAGGTCATCTAGCTCTCAGGTTCTAAGGCCTTCCTTCCTACAAAACTGGGACAGTTCTGAAAAGGAGCCAGGAAACACACTAAGACGACTGTCCCCGAGTAAGGGTCTCTAGGGACCTGATCACACTAAATGCTCCATAAGCATCAGCTCCCTCAGCCCTTCTGAGGCCTGGGAGTCCACAACAAGAAGCTCAAGTTCAAGGGACCAAAAGTGACCTGGCATGTGGCCAGGCTGGGCCCTGCACCCAGAGCCAGCAAGCCTGAGGCCACTCCGGGCAGCCACGAGGTGACAGCACAGAGGAACCGCCCGGGGCCACTCCCGCTCCGAGGGTCAGCAGTGAGCAGACCTTTGCACACCTAAGCTTGCTGAGAGCCTGCAGAGGGGTCACCAGTCCTCCGCTCTGTCTAGGGCTCCAGGTGACACTCTGCGAACGACACACTTGTGCACAAATGGAGCGTGTCTCCGTGTGCCCACAGGCAGCCCCCTGGCAGCCCCCCCTACCTGAATGTCGGCCAGCAGCTCCTGCTTCCTCCGCCGAATGTTCTCCAGTTCTTGACGCTCCTCTGCGGTCAGGTCGCTGGGAACTGCAAAGAGGAGGGAAATGTTACTGAGCAAGTTTCCACCTCCCCAGAAACACAGAAGGACCCTGCAACAGAGCAAAAGAAAGACCAGAGGCCATTTTCAGAAACAACTGACTGCACGAAGCCACTGGGGCTCCAGCTCTCGGCAGGTGTGCCAACAAAGGGCGGCCAAGTCACCCAGGAGAGCTGGGAGAGGACAGCAGGCAGGGGCCGGAGGGAGGAGCTGAGGGTGGCATCAGGCTGGCTGCCTGGCCACCCCCTACAACCAGAGGCTACAGGCCACCCCATTCCTCAGTCCCTTGTGCCCAGGGCTGGCACTGCACCACCTGGTAGAGATAGCTGTGGCAGAGAGGTGGCGTGGGCCCTGGGTGGGGAGCAGAGGCAAGCTGAGAAGCCATGTGGAGGCTTCATGCTGGCGGGGGCGGGTGAGGAGACCATGACTGCAGAGACAGAGACACCACACTGGGCAGAGCTCTGCTCCAGGACCGAGGGGTGGCCATCTCGTCTGCTCCGTGCCCTCCAGGGTGGCTTGAATGTCCACATGCACCCCGGCCTCAGAGCAAGGTCTCTCAATTCCAGATCAGAGTTCTCACCAGGAACACCCTGCCAGCCACCGAGGATCAAATCTCCTCCTCTGTGCAAAGAGTTGGACAGACGACCTCCAGGCGACCCTTCGGTGTGCCGTGGGAGCCAGGCTCTGTGGGGAGGCCAAGCACCTGAACTAGGCAGGTGGGTACAAAAACCACTCCCACCACCACAGGCCACATCAGGTCACTGTGGCCCACACTTGGTCATGACAAAGTGGACAGGGCTGTTTGGGGACCAAGTGAAACAGAACAGGTGGCCCTGACATACCCCATAGTCCACGGGGCCTGGCCTGAGCCGCCTGCGCACACTTGGCCCCGCCTTGCTGAGCACTGTACTCCTTCTGCATTGTGAGCTGCAGCAACCAACCTTGTTCTCACCGTCGGGGGTGGGGGGCATGAAGCAGGCGCTGTGCCCACTGAAGGACCTTGAATCTTGTGGTTTGCACGCGTCCCACTCCAGAGGCTGGGAGGGGCTCCGTGAGGCCTCCAGCTCCCAACCCCGACCCAGGCTGCCTCCAGAAGAGGGGCTGCCCCACGGCTGCCGCACAGAAGGCTGGCGAGGGGGGGCTGCCCGCAGTGGAGGCCAGCCTTGGGGGAGCAGCTCCGCTGCCGCCTTTGGCTCAGCACTGTGAGCTGGGCTCCGGGAAAGCTCTCCCGTCCACAAGGACTAGAAGGTCCTTAGAGAAACAGGTTTCCCGATGTTCTAGAAGATAAACGCTTGTTCTAACATGGTCTGTTTGTTGAGCTCTTGAAGCAACAGCTCACTTTTCTAAACAGCAATTCCAGGGGTACTGAAAACTGAGACTTGATTTTGAAGCCATAGCACTGGCTTAATCAGATCATCGTGAGTCTTCATTCGAGCAGAGGAAAGGTCTTCCTAACAAGGCAGGTGGAAACAGCACGCAAAACGAAAATTCCTACTGAGGTCCAACTGTGCACCTTAGAGGCAGCTGCTGGCCCTGGACTGGCCCCTCTGGCCGCCTTCTCCTCAGACTCCAGGCACTCTGGGTGAGCACGCCACACAGAGCTTTCTAGAAAGCCACAGTCAGCACCTGCATGACACGTCAGACTGAGCTTCCTGTCCCCTACCTGCCCATGATCTGCTTCGAAACAGTAAGGGAACAAAAAGAGGACTCTGCCAATGACCACTGTCCCAGCGGAGAAGGCCGGCAGCAGAAGGGAGGCCGACGCATTTCCAGAGCCCAGAGAGCAAAGGAAGGGTGCCCATGCCTTCCTCCAGGGCGCAGGACGCATGGGCGCAGGCACCCTGCAGGCCATGGCCTGCCACACCCAAGGACTGGAGCACCCTTTATCCCGAAGCAGAACTGCACGGCCCTGCAGAGCAAGCCCCCAGCAGGAGCTGTACCCCAAAGCCCTCGGACTCTGGCCCTAGTATGGGGGCTCCTGCCCACCCCAGACTGCGCGTCCCAGGGGCCACCTAGGGCGCAGGCGAGGAGCAGGTTGGGAACAGACACCCACCCAGCTGCAAGGGGACGGCTGGGAGCAACAGGACCTTCAGAAGAACACTGTGGGAAACACACTCTAACCAACACACCCTCGCCCTCAGGTTACCCCCAAATCAACAGTCAATTAAGGAGTGAAAGGTGAAGTTGAGATGTTCTTGTAGAACAAAGAGCAAAAAGAAGAGAACTGAAGAATACAAGAAACAAATCTACTCATCCGCAAGTAAAAAATGTCAGCTGCCACAGAGGCACAAACGCTCATGACAAACCAGCAGTTCAAGGAGTGAAGAGGGCCAGCGGCCAGAGGCTTGAAGCTGGAGGAGAAAGTGGCCACCCACAGAGGCTGACGGGCAGGAGGACAGGGAGGGGCCTTTGGGTTCCCGTGGAAACCACCTGATCCAGCACCCCCTTGAGGAGAGGGCAAACCAGGGTCTCTTCAGACCCCTCAGAGCAGTGAGCCTGTCCTGCACCCTTTCCCAGGAGGTGACTCTGGGGGGACGAGGGACAGGGACAGGGATCGGGCTGACTCAGGGACGCTGAGGCCTCCTCGAGCAGCCCACCGCGCAGCGCAGCGGAGGGGAGCAGGCCCCATGGTCTCCTCCCAAGAAGACAGGGAGGGCTTGGGAAGAGGGGAACAGAAGCCCAGAGAAGATGGAGGGCAGCAGGGCACTGCCCCAGACACGCACCCCGTGTGGACACCACCCCGTGGTGGCTCCGTGTGAAGGACGGGTGGGAACATGGAAGGGGGAGGAGAGGGGGGAGGGGGGAGGAGGGCGGAGGCTGCCCTCTTACAGCAGATCCAGGCTGGGGCTGGGCGTTCATTTAGGGGAGT